ATCAAACACAGTTGTAACATTCGTAATTTTCTTAATATCTACTATTTAATTTAAAAAAGTTACACATTTAAAATAAATCCGCATAAGCCAGAGCCTAGTTCAGTGGCTCTTAAACATAAATAATTATTTCAAACACACGGATAGAACAGCAAACAAAAAAAATGAAACTTTTTTTTTAAATGTTTTTCAACCCCCCCCCCCCCCCCCCACACACACACACACACCAAACCTACTCAGATAAAACTATACCACGTGATCAAAATTGAAAAAAAAAGACAAAGCCGTATGCATAAGCAAAGTTCTTGTAAACAAGTGTGAGATATCATCTATTTGATACTTCCGCCACAAATGTAAGATATCATCTATTTGATACTTCCGCCACAAATGTAATAACCCAAAAAATGTCAAGATGTCTGTTTCTTAAAGGTGCTTATCATTAGTATCAAGGGAGATCACAATACCGGTCCCTATTGTTGCCTCATTTTGCTGTTGTTTTGTATTGATTGTTAATTAAGGAAACACACAATGTTCGGCTTGCTTTTGTACGCTCTTTAGTTTTGTGAGTTTACTAGGATGAACAACTTCAGCTAGTGAGTGGCCCTTAAATTGATTCAGCGGATGCATTCGCATGTCCGTACTGCAGTGTGCTAAGCAATGTACTAACTAACGCACATATTCTGGTGAAGGTCTGAGATTACTCTCTTATGACCCCGGCTAGTAAATTGGCTATCAACTCCATCTGTTGAGCTGAGCCATACAACATGTACCTCACAAAGGATCCTCCAACCGCCCTGGCTTCCCCTGGGAGATCTAGTGCTGGACACTCCGTCAACAGATGTTCTAAGGTCTCCGGGGCCAGGCTGCAGTGCCGGCAGGTAGGATCTCTGTTGTTGTCCAACCTCCAGAAATATGTGCGCAGGGGGCAGTGCTCGGTGCGCATCTGCGTTACTAAACTCTGCACTCTACGACCTAACCCCCACCATGGGTCTTGTTTGCTAGGAGTAGGCAAGTTCGAATAGACGCCTCTGGCAGTCGTGTTGTCAGCCCATTGCCTGTACCACTTCTGCCTGAAGTGGTCCGCCAGCCAGTTTTTGACTCCCAAGAAAGTCATTGGTACTTCTGGCTGAGGCTGGGCTGCCCCGGTTTTCGCCAGAGTGTCAGCTATCTCATTGCCACTGATGTTGACATGCCCTGGTATCCATTGCATTTCAACCTTGCACCCTATTTCATCAAGTCTGCATATGTCGTTGTGAATGACGTCGACCAAGCTTGTGGTACCCTGTCTCTTCTCCAAGATCTCAAGAGCGGATCTTGAGTCTGAGAAGACGACAATATCGAGCCCCGCATGCTCCGTCCCTTCCAGAGTGACACGGACTCTCTCCAAGGCCTTGTGCATAGCTATAAGCTCCGCGTCAAAATTTGACGCTGTAGTCCCACAAGGCCCGGAGAGTTTTTCATTGGGTGGTCCACCTACTGGGTACTGAATAAGCGCACCGTACCCAGCAGTTCTTTTCCTAAAGTCGGCAGAGCCGTCCGTGAACACTTTCACAGGTATGTGCGTGAACACATCCATGGTCTCAAGGGCAGCCACTCTCTGTACATGTTCAGGGCTTCGTTTCGTCACTGCTGCATCTGTCAAGGCCAAATGTATGGAGGGGCGTGAGGGTTCCGCATAAGGCGGATTAACTGGGATTTGGGTCAGTCGTTCTCTATTTGGGGGCAGGGGGACTGTCCTCTCCAGCTCCACGACCTGGTGCATGAAAGAGGACCTCTTTAGTCTCCTGCCACCCACCCAGTTATTTTGCATTTGAAAGGCTGGTTCATTTTCACCGAGCCGTCGGTACCTCTCTACGGTATTTAAGATGGATTTTTCCCTCCTAATTTGTAGCGGTTCTACATTGGCCAAGACTTCTACAGCAGCTGTGGGAGTAGTCCTGTATGCGCCACAGATGAATCTCAGTGCCTGATTCTGGATTCGGCCCAGTTTTTCCAATGCGGTCTTGCTTGCAAAGGATTGGACCGGCATACTGTAGTCCATCACCGACCTTACACTGCTTAGAAAGAGAGCTCTAAGCGTACTTGCGTTCGCGCCCCAACTTGTGCAAGCCAATTTTTTCACCAGGTTGAGCTTGGCGGTCGCCTGGGAGCAGAGGTCCTGTACAAAATTGTGCATTTGTACCTTTTGGTCCAGCTTAACTCCCAAGTAGACCGGTTGTTTGTCCCACTTTAGCGCTACATCGCCCACCTTGAGCTCGATCTCCTGTTTGAGAATGGTCCGCCCATTTGTGAAGAGTGAGTAGACCGTCTTCTCGGTGTTAATTTCCTGATGCCACCGCCGCATGTACCTGTTGATAGCAGAGAGGTCCTGCTGTAATAGCGTCTGCAGGCGGTGGACATCCTTCCCGGTGCTCCAAATTACCAAATCGTCCACATACATGGCAGAGCTAGTCGTTAGCACCTGTGGCAGGTCATTGATGTAGGCAAGGAAGAGGGTGCAACTGAGGGCAGACCCTTGCGGGAGTCCTTCCTCAAGTGTCCTCTTCCTGGAGGTTTCACCGCCGAATTTCGTGTTTATCGTCCGGTTTGTGAGGAAACCGGAGATCCACCTGTACATGTTCGCGGTTACTCCCAACGCCTGCAGCTTCAACAATAGACCGGACCTCCAAACTCGGTCGTAGGCTTGTTTGAGGTCGAAAAATACTGCCACTGTATGGGATTTCTTTTGGAGCCCATCTGTTATGGACTGGAGAAGACGGAGCACTTGGTCCACTGGCTGCATTCCCTTGCGGAAGCAATGTACTAAACAGTGTGCTAAACAGTGGGGTGCCTGAATTAGACTGTCAGAAATTTGTGAGACTTTGACTTTCCTCTAAACGCAACACCATTACAACACTCTCACCCCTTTTATATTTGTCTTTCTTACTTGCTCTCTCTCTCTCTTTCTCTCTCTCTATCTCTCACACTCTCTCTTTCTCTCTGTCTTCCCTTTCTCTCGTTCTCTCTCACTGTCTACATTGCGTTTGTTTCCAGCACACGACGTGATTAATACGAGTTCATCGGTCGTGTTTGTTCGTTGAGTTAATGCCAAGATGTGAAGCATGTTGTCACCTCATTATTGTAGCTTATATAGAATTTAGAAAGGAGTGAAAAATGGAGGAGAAAAAAATGACTTAATGTTAATGGTATATTTCTAAAATATTTTAGCCCCATGCTGTGGATTACAAGACTATTTTCATTGCCATTGTATAACACTTTTCCTGCCTAAAAACGTATTATAATAGAGTCCAAGGTCATTGTCGAATTAATTTTTTTTTTTAATAATTGAATTCCCTTTTTCCTAATACTATTAGGAATGAATATTTAACTCCCAAGTTTTTGTTCTGAAATGTTAAAACAGTTGCGTATATTTTAATAACATAGAAAACTTTTCTTTCTACCGTGGGGGCAAATGTCTGTTGGACATTCTGCGATTACATAAAGGAGTCGGGAAACACGCAAGACTTCATTTGCTGCACCAAAACATAGCTTAACCATGACATTTGCTGCACCAAAACTTAGCTTAACCACGACATTTGCTGCACCAAACCATAGCTTAACCACGACATTTGCTGCACCAAAACTTAGCTTAACCACGACATTTGCTGCACCAAACCATAGCTTAACCACATTTGCTGCACCAAACCATAGCTTAACCACGACATTTGCTGCACCAAAACATAGCTTAACCACGACATTTGCTGCACCAAAACATAAATAAATGACTTTGCTAACCAAAACATATCTTAAAGATGACAATTGGTGCATTACCCCATGACACTAGTCATAAAGTTTATGTCAATTTAAAATACAATTTAAAAATGTTTGTTATCTTATAATAAGGGTTCGTTCGAAAATGACGTTACACTCAGGGGTGGCGCGGTCGAGAATTTGTGATATGAGGGGGTAAAAAATGTGTGACACTTTGTGACAGATATGAGGGGGTAAACAATGTGTGACACTTTGTGACAGATATGAGGGGGTAAAAAATGTGTGACACTTTGTGACAAATAAGGGGGGTGGATAAAAATGTGTGAAACTTTCTGACAGATAGGGGGGTAAAAAATTTGTGACACCTTGTGACAGATGGGGGGGGGTAAAAAATATGTGACAGCTTGTGAAAGATAGGGGAAGAGGATTAAAAAAAAAAAATTTTATCTAAAATTTTCTTTTTTTTTAAAAATCTTTATTCAATTTATTTTAAAAACATTAATTTGAGGTCGAAATTGCCTCAGGTGTTACAAGTACCGTGAAACTCAGTCGATCACACTTTCTGGACATATCAAAAATGACGCAAAAATGTTTGGCGTATTTAAAAAAATGCCTGGTATACGTTAGATGAAGCAAAGTGACTATAATAATAAAACACTGCAAGATAGCTTTTCAACAATTTAAAAAAAAATGCTTTATACCGGTATTAATTTCGCTTTTATTCGTAATGTTTCTGGCTGGGTGGCAAAATACAAAAAATTGACTGCTAAGCTAATCGACCCACTTTCCGTCAACCTATTGAGCTGAAACTTGGCACATAGACGTTTTGCCGATGACAACAAATTCTATTAAAATTTCAATTATTAAAATCTCCCAACCACAACCCCCGGCAATTTGCTTTTTTTTCAATGGGAAGATAAAGGAAATAATGACGACATTAATTTCACGAAATAACATTCACAATAACTACGCTAAGTGAGATTCTTTTTTTAGTGGCAAGTGCGTTTGGTGCGTAATATTTTCTTTTGTTTTTCTGAAGTAATGGTTGAAATAAAACCTGCGGTGTAAGAGCGGGTGGGTCATTAAAATATAGTTCATGGGTGGGGGGGGGGAAATATGCGGTGGCGAGCATGGGGGGAGGGGCACTGATTGGAATTCTTATAAAGTGGGTTACTTGTATGCATGTTTTGTCAAATTTTCTGCCCCACCCCTCATTGCTCAATCTGACATATTATAAAGGTTTTATGGGGGGGGGGGGGTGTTTAATTAACAGGGACGTGAAGATCGAACCGGCCGGGGGTGTCGGAGAGGGGGGGCTGTGGGTGGGCAGTGCGAGTAGTGGGGGGCAGTGCGAGTAGTGGGGGGCAGTGCGAGTAGTGGGGGGCAGTGAGTTTATGAAATACGCATGTTGACATTGCATTATTAGAAGGGGTACTTTGACAAAATGTTTTTATGAGACTATATATTTAAAGACCATTCTAGCTGAGTACTTTGTTGAAGATTTAAACTGTGTCCATGAGCACTGCCCGGCTTTGCATCATCTGATGAATGTTTGGCTCATGCCCATAAGGTCGGATGTATATAAATAGCACATATGAGTGAGTACACGAGCACCAAGTTGTTAGCGTCATAGAGTCAATGAGACTACGAGAGTAATCCACGTATGTAAACACTGCTCAAATACACCAGTGATATGACGCAGGTCGTGTATCTGTCTGTTCGTGTAACTGCCCGCGGCGCAGCGTTCCTCGCGGTGCTGGAGCTGCTCCAGTCTCGGCCATGTCCCTCAATCCAGCTGGATTTCGTCTGCTCCGGGGTGGGCGGTGTGGTCATCTCTGTTGCAGGCGTCAATACTTTTGTGGACGTAGGCTTCACCACGCATGTGCCGTTGACCGTTTTCATGTCTTCATATTTGCAGCAAATGGTATTGCTGTAGTTGCCGCACGGCTGAGCCACGTCACTGAGATGGGTGTTGGTCCCTACTCCGCATACACCGCACAAGCTGCAGGTCCACTCACATCTACTCCGGTTTACTTCGGCTCTGTAGTAATTAGGCTGGCATAGGATGGTCGTGTCTCGTGTAGTGTTGCAGGGTATGGCTGTGACCTCGTTCTGGGGACATTGAACATGAATGAGTGACGTTAGCAATAAGTGAGCATGAAGTGACGTAGCTAGGGTTGTTGTCATCAGGTGCGGTCCGATAACCCTCGCACCCCCATCCCCACCCCCCCCCCCCATCTACACCACTGTGAGGATGTTAAACTTTAATCAGGATGAACATGAATGAGTGACGTTAGCAAGAAGTGAGCATGAAGTGACGTAGCTAGGGTTGTTGTCATCAGGTGCGGTCCGATAACCCTCGCACCCCCACCCCCACCCCCCCCCCATCTACACCACTGTGAGGATGTTAAACTTTAATCAGGATTCGAGATATCGATTCAGAAACAAAATATTAGTTTTAAGCAACGGTAAACAATTGTGTAATATTGCGTCTAAAAATAACAAATTAAATCAATCTTTATTTTTAAAATTTTATTTTATCAACAAAATAAGATTTATTATTTTTCTAAATTTAAATTTGGTTGAGTATTGGCGTGTGAAAATAGATACTCGCTTCGAGTGTCTGACCATCTTACACACTGGGTTGAGTTCAGCGACGTTTGGGACACATTAGGGACCGTTAGGTATCTAAACGGTTGCTTGTCATATGGTTATATATATATATCTATATTATATCTATTTTCAATTATTTAGACTAGCTTAGGATGGAGGGATTGGTCAGTTCATCGGGATGAATCTTTCTTTTATGTATACAATGGTAATATTTTCAGTCGAAAAAAAAAAAGAATAGATGAAACTAATGGATAAAAGACCCAACATATAAATGTATTTTTTTCATGAACGATAATCTATGACTATTTGAGATCGGTATAATAAAAAACATATTGGTTAAATTTTTCAAATCCCCTTTTTTCTGTTCTGAGAATAAGTTTAGATAAAAATGGGGATAAACAAAAATGAGCGTTCTTAAACTGAACAAGTTGACGGAAACTGGCGAAGTAGCCATAATGGTGTAGCATCTCAACGATTCTTGTCTTTTGATGAAGTCATTAGAACTTTTATGGTGAAAAAAATTATTAATAATAAATTATTTCAACCAAAAAAATTGTTGTTTTTTTAAAAATATAAACAACTTTACTATTTATTTATCCCAAACATTAAAGGATTTGTATAAGCGAAATAAGATAAATAAACACATACTTTTCCATTGGCATCAATTTTTGGTCATATTTCCAAATAATTTAAGATTGATAGATATTAAGTTCCATAACGCATCCTAGCTTTTAAATTTTTTTGCCTCCAAATCCAGTCTTCCAGTACGGGAAAGAGTGAAGAAAATCCCCCGATACGACTGTGGAGGACAAGCCTTGTGCCAGCATCCACGAACAGTTGCTGTTTTTTTTGTTTTGTTTTTTTTTGGTTTTTTTGTTTTTTTTTGGGGGGGGGGGGTTGTGTTTTTGTGCTCTTCAATATTTTGGGTCCTTACGTCCCCCTCCTCCGGCACTGCATCTTGCACCCTCAGAGGGCGCGGATATTTAAGGTTTAAAAAAAAACAACATATCATCATTCTTTCGTTAGTCGGGCATGTGGTCTTACTATCCTTAAGCGGCATTTTTATTTCTACATATCATATGACCGTTCCGTTAAACTGAGTTTGAGATAACTTGATTAGACTTTACCTGTCCTGGTATAAGACACAATTTACAGCTGAAAAGTACGTTTTCTTCACTCATCTGCCTTGTGACGAACGTCCCGTCTGCACATGGCTTGCACTCATTGCTGTGTTCATCCTGATAGTGGCCTGGCCCACACCTCCCTGGTGGACTTGATGATACTCTTCCTAAAGCCACGTCATGCAATATGCTCTTACTTAGACTCCGTGATGGAATGTCGGGATCGCACTTGTCGCACTTTGTTGTCGCCAACAGGATCATGACCAGGACGATACAGAGGGGGGTCATTTTCGGGGGTCTTGGTGATGATCACTTTTTTTAGCACGTGTTAATTCCGCACAGGAACACTCTTTTTCCTTGACCATCAAACTGTGGGGAAAAAAATTAAAAACTTGTAACAATCCCCGACATTACAACAGCAAGCGTGATTGGATTACCTCCATGATCCAGGATTTTTTTCTAAAACTACGGCACTACGACGAGCCTAAGACTACGGCACTAAGGAGAGCCTAAGACTACGGCACTACGACGAGCCTAAGACTACGGCACTACGACGAGCCTAAGACTACGGCACTAACCCGCGGGTAAACAGGTCTGAAAACTACTCTGACACTAACCCGAGGGTAAACAGGTCTGAAAACTACTCTGACACTAACCCGTGGGTAAGCAGGTCTGAAAACTACTCTGACACTAACCCTGTGGTAAACAGGTCTGAAAACTACTCTGACACTAACCCGGGGGTAAACAGGCCTGAAAACTACTCTGACACTAACCCGGGGGGTAAACAGGTCTGCTTGACTAGTATCAATAAAAGTTCAGGCGGGTCCTTTTATCTGAGTCACCTTAACGTTTAAAAACTCCTAGCATAATACAAAAAATAGGATTGGTACGGTATGTCCTCCGCTGCTGATTGGCCTGTTTATTGACAATACGTTTCTTCGTTTTATTAGAAAATAAAATAGATCTATAAAATCATCACGGTGCCTCAGTTTAATTTTCTAACTATATTTTGTTCCCTACATTAACCTCTAGGTGAGGAAACATTTATTTTGATTTTTTTTTCCCATAAGGAATATTAATAAAAGTGCCCGGACTTTAAATGAAGTGGCGGCAATGGTGGCGAAGACAGTGGATTATCTACCATGTGGTTCTACTTGCCATTTCCAAACTTGAACGTCTGACGATTATAGAATAAGCAAAGCTGGTCGAGTTTTTCCAAGGTAACGTCGATTATTTCACAAATGAATGCCTTAAACAACACCCGAGAAGTTTATACAACAAGCCTTACTTCTAATGCTTACCTTGATTTTTATTACAGCATGATTGTGTGTCTCTTCATCCGAGTTCAGATGGTTCCGTGCAAGCCGGCAGGATTTTCCCGGTATAACTTGCCATCGCTTACCCTTAAAACGGGCCAGGACTAGATTAAAAACCCGGATACGTTATCGGCCTAGTCAAATTTTTGTCCGGGGTATTATTGGGCGAGGCTCATTCACACTTTTTAAAACCCTTTGCAGCTCTTGACATCCAAAAATATGACAGACCTCCTTAATTTTAAAATTCAGTACATGCTCTCATTTTTGTAACACGGTTCAAGGAGTGCTTCTTTCAACCCCTGAGGTTCTTCAGGTACATCAGCTTTTACCTAAGTAAATCCATCGGCGATACGGCCGGGTGGGAAAATGGGACGGTGGCAAAAACGCACAGCGAAATGACGTCATCGAATCGTTATATCCTCTACTTAACTAACGGAAATGCTACCCAAAATTTAAGAGCTGCATAAGTAATTATGTATTTAAGGAACCAGGAAATGTTTTGATACTTTATATCATTGTGAGGTCTAAAGATGGTGTAGATTTTTTCTTCATGTTTGTTATATTTCTTTATCTCTAGTCTTTTTTATTCTATTTCTTTATGTTTAATTCCATGTAATGAACTACCGTACATTTAACATTGATCAGTGAATGTCTTTATGTTATGAAGTGGTGTGTCTAAAATCTGCCTGCCTGTGTTAGATCGTTTACATTATCCGCCCAGACCTCGAGCATGTTCAAATTCCATTGAACAAGTTAGGGCCCATAACACCGATCATACAGGTTGGCTTTCAAGGCTCTCAAAATTGGAAAACTAAAAAGTTTTGTGAGTAAAATGAAGCATTTTTGTCCCTGAGTATGTTCAGATAAGAAGACCACAAACAAATAGACAATCAAAACTATCATACATTATTTCGTCTCTGGTGGGAAAGTTTGGTCAAAGTTGGTTAATCGTTAAGTTATTTAAAATTGCATTTTAAAAAAAAAACATGAAAAATCGTTCGTAACCCTTTTTTTTCTGGTATTCTGCAGCCCAAAAGGGCTCACCACATATTGTATGTCCTGGAGGGTAAAGTCTGTCCTGGAGGGTAAAGTCTGTCCTGGAGGATATAGAATGGCCTTTGCTATCTTAACCCCCCCCCCCAATGCTCGGGTATCATTTGATCAATGTCATTTTCTTCCCGGGCCTGAGACAAACTATGCCCCGGATTAATCTGGGCAAGGGTTAAATTTTGATGCTACGCCGGTACGAAATACAGATTGAATTGGAAATTGCCGTTATGAATTAGGGCTGGGGTAAACAGGATTTGAGTGTGTGCACAACTATTTAAAAAACAAAAAAACAAAAACTTTTCTCACTATTTCCAAATGTTATCGAGTGTTACACTTCTAGTTAAGGTTAGATGTAATACACTAGATATAAATATGAGATATTTAAAATCATTGTAAAATATTTATTATTATTTTATTTTTTTTTATTTAAATTTAAACAGGAAATATAATTTTCTTCTAAAATTTTAAAATAAAATTTTAAAAACATTCTTACAAGATTTCTTGAGCAACACTGAAATACTTCCGGGTCATATCCGCCCCCACCACCCGCCCCCCTTGTTATGTTTACATAGGAAAAAAAATCCAACACGATAATAATGTCCGTAAATGGTGGGGTGGGGGAGGGGGGGTCGATGTTGCAATATTAGATGTGGGAGATTTGGTGAGGTAGAGGATCGGACCGCTTTTGACAGAAGTAATGTTATAATCATTACTTTTTTTATCATCATATTGTTCGTTAAATCTTTATTTGGAATTGGGCGGGGGGGGGGGCATTCTTCTTCGAGGAAATCAGGTGGTTTAATTTTTAAAAATGATAAGATGTCATATTGCATTAAACCAAAAATAAGATTTCATGACAAAGAAGAGAACAAGAACACAATTAAGAATTTTTTTATCTTCATTTTGTTCGTTAAATCTTTATTTGGAATTGGGGGGGGGGGGGGGGGCATTCTTCTTCGAGGAAATCAGGTGGTTTAATTTTTAAAAATGATAAGATGTCATATTGCATTAAACCAAAAATAAGATTTCATGACAAAGAAGAGAACAAGAACACAATTAGTCGAAATCGTGAAACCTTGTTTATTGTGGATGTGGGCGTGGGTTGTGGAATGAGATTGCAGCATAAACAAAACTATTCTAAACAAATAGTAATTTCTCATGTTAAATTTCAATGCATATTCAACATAAAATGCTTGTTCAAAAGTGTTAAGTGTTTTCTCGTGTTGAATATCAATGCATATTCAACATAAAATTCTTACAGTGTTTTCTCGTGTTGAAGTTCATTGTAAATGCAAATAATCAGTGTTTCAGGGGGTGTATGTTTCTCGCATGCTTCCACACAATCTTTGCATCATAACAACCCATGGAATACTCATCAAATAAAGTGCAGGCTACTCTAGGAGACAAACATGGAACTCTTCTATCAATCCGTAATATTGAGTACAAACCGAGGGTTAACAGTACAATGAGGTGATAGAAAATAAGTTCGATGTTTGAAAAAAAAAAATTCAAACACCTTTAACATCGTCAGAATACACCATGAAGTTTGTCAATGATCAAAATCATGAAACTGTTATTACTTTAAAAATGCATATCGCATTTGGAACTCAACACGTGACTTTAAACTTTAAGCTGTGGTCATATACTTTTTTTTTTAAATTCAGATAATTTTTAAATTGCCTGCTCATTAGTTACAAGGTAACACTTCAACGGCTATTCACCCTGTTATTTTTAATATGAGAAAACTCAAAAACTATGGTTGATTTGAACTAAGCATTTTATTGACATTCATGTACCGCTAAAAAAAAGTTTCCCGAAAGAATCGTGTACAAAGTTTACAGTTTGATTACGTCATTTAAAAAAAAAAAATTTGGGGTCTTTCTATTTGACTTACTTGGTTTGAGTGGCGTATCTAGGGTTAGTGCAGCCCGGGCGAAATGATTGAGTCCAACTACTGGGCAACCCCAAATGATATACATTTTTTCTCTCGTTATTTATTTATACTTTCATGCTGTGTTTAAATAACTTGTACTCTATATGTATCTTTTCTATGCTCGGCACAGCTACATATTATATAAATATAAGAATCACTGTTTCAAAAAAAATGTCAAGGTCTTCACTAAATACTTTCAAAGTATTGATGTACAGCTGGATAGAGGTCAGAGTTTGGTGAGATGCCTAAGGAAAAGAACTGTGTATGTCGAGAGGGTTTTTTTTTGGTTTCAGAGATGGACATTTGATGGATCATAAACACTTGATACGTTAAAGAATTCCTAATGTTACACGGTTTAATGATGTGTTCTCGGAGGAAAACTTTCTGTCTCTTTCAGATGTATAGTATGTGATCAAATCTACAGCATTAAAAAGACTTTCATAAGTAAGTTTTGTATGAGTTTGATCTTATGCTGTGGGGTGCCAAGGATTTAGGTGCCACCACCCCCTCTCCACGAGAAAAGTCTGCCGCTTCCTGCGCCACTGATCTGATGTGTAACATGTCGACAAGATGATCAGTGATGGGGGACAACTTCTAAGTCCGTACATGACGTCAGATTTGGTGACATGGCGTAAGATTTGGTGACATGACGTAAGATTTGGTGACATGACATCAGATATGGAAACATAACGTCAGATTCTTTTGACATGACGTAAGATTTGGTGACATGACATATGTTTCATTGACATGGCTTAAGATTTGGTGACATTTACTAATATTTGGGTGACGTAACGTATGTTTAATGACATGACTCAAAACACTGACGAGTGAGACAATGAAATGGTTGCCATATGACATCTGTACATGGGCGCCCGCAGAAAACTTTCTAGGGGGGGGGGGGGCAAAAACTCGATTAACTTTCCAGGGGGGGGGGGACAAAAAGGGTAAAAAAATGATGTTACTCAGATGTTATAAAAAAAATGTTAATAATGTTTTAATATGGTTTTAATTTACTGTAGCGTATTTGTATGGTGAACGAACGGACAGGACATCAGCTTAGTTACTTTCTCGTTATTGTCTCTTTACTTTAATAAAATTTGTGTCTAAAAAAAAAATATCCAATCAATCCAGGGGGGGCAAGTGCCCCACCTTGCCACTACCTGCGGGCGCCCATGCATCTGTAAGACGTGAAATGTATCAAAGACATTCTTTTGGGTTTCAGGGTACGTTAATGCCACTGACTAAAATAGGTCGTCTCTATGGGCTGATAGAGACCAGAGACCAGAGGGACAGAAAGGGTAAGGGGGGGGGGAGAGAGCAGGGTTTCTTTCAGCCAAATGCCCCCGTCCCTGGAGCAAAAATATGTCCAACAATAAATCAACTGGAACTGCTGACACTGCCCCCACCCCCGAAAATCTGAAGTGCCCCCCACCCCGAAATCTGAAGTGCCCCTCTGGAGGAAAATTTCTGAAAGAAACACTGTGGGAGAGGATGGTAATAGAGGTGGAGAGAAAGGTGTGTTAAAGCTGATATGTTACAGTTCCATTGCATTTATTTATTATAGCACCAAGTTATGCATCATGGCCGTTTATATTCATACAAAAAATATTTATTTTCAAAGTGAAACAATGACATCAATTAACTACCGCAATGTAAACAAAATATAGAAAAACATTAATTTCAGATCGTATATGACAGTGCTCAAATAACATAGATATGTTATTTATATAGAAATAAGTGTATTAACATTTTTGAGTGACTGTACATGAGCCGTGCTAACTTCACAACGCTAGCACTGCAAATCAACAGAAACATTATTTTAGTTGATATCCGAGGATTCGAAAAAAAAACAAAGCCACGTGGGTGCTAAAGGCAGACACATATAAAAATGACCATAAATATGACGTGTGTCGTGTATCTGTTACCTGGCGTAACGTCCAGCCCGGCGTTGGTCGTATTTATGTCGTGGCCATTTTCCGTAAATTTAGAAACGCATGTGCCGTTGATCGTTTCCATGTCGTCGTACTTGCAGCAGATGGTGTCGCTGTAGTTGCCGCACGGCTGAACCAAGTATT